CATCTAGCTCAGTATTGAGTTTAGCAGTGATACAAAGGAAGTATTATGGAAAGGCTTTGTTGGCTCAGCCTTCAGAGTTAGGAATGGACAGCTTTCAAAAGAAAAATCGTGTGTTATGTATGACCATATGATATGTTTCCAATCACTAAGAACTGAGTAATACAAATTAAAACATCACTGAGGTTTCATCTCACAACCTGCAAATTTGTAAAAATGACCAAAGAGTGATAATAGTGTTGGGGGAGAATGTGGCAAGATACACAAGATATGCTGTTAGTAGGGCTATGAATTGATCTAACTATTCTTGAAATAATATTGAAACTGTGTGAGAAGAGTGACTCAACTGGCCATCACCTTTGACCCAGAGATCTCCCTTCAGGGCACATACCCTAGTGGGGTGAAAGAGCCCATAGGGAAAGATTAGTCAGAACAGTACTCTTGTTATAGTAGCAAAGAACTGGGAGCAAAGTTGATGCCCATTGACTGGTAAATAGCCAAATGAATTGTTGTATGTAAATGTAGCAGAATAATATTGTGCAGTAAGAAATAACTGATAGGAGGAATTCAAGAGGGGAAACATGGGAAGGTTTGTATAAACTGATGTAAAATGAAATAAGCAGAACCTAAAGAATGTGATTGATGATGACTACAACAATGTACATGAAAATATCATGACAAGGAAACCACAGTCTGAGAACCAGGAAAACCAGTGACAATCCTGGAAAACAATAATAATACTTATCTCTCTTCTCTTAGCAGAGAGGGATAGGAGGCCATTAGGCGATAATGTTGTGTAAGCTAGGAGAGGTATTTTGCTTAACTGTTTTTCTTTGTATGTAACAAGGGAGGGTTCAGTTCTGAGGAAGGGGTGTAGAGCAGGGATTTAAGAAAAAATGAGAGATGAGAGTGCAATATCTAGGTTTCTTATAATAATTCACCAAGATTTATGGATCCACTCTCCATTAATCTTTCTGAATTTTTTTGAAGGTGTTAACATTCTCGGAGGCAGCTAATAGTATAGTAGATAAAGCACTACACCTGGAGTCAGGGGATCTGAGTTCACACATGGCCCCAAACATTCGCTGTGTGACTCTGGGCAAATCACTTAGATTCTGTTTGTCTCAGTTTCCTCGTCTGTAAAACATGGATAATAATAGCACCTACTTCACAGAGTTATTGTGAATATCAAATGAGATAATATTTGTTTAAAAAAAAACCCACTTACCACAGTGCCTGTCACATAGTAGATGCTATATAAATGCTTGTTCCCCCACCCCTTCCCTCCCAGCCTAATATGTACACACACACACACACACACACACACACACACACACACACACACTTTATGTGTGTGTGTATTAGGGTAATGACTTTATTACCCTTCTACAATGTAATACTCTGATTGTACCAAACTTATTTTTCTAGCTTCAAGGAATAAACCCTAGATATATTCAGCCAGGATTTGTTAATTAAGCCAATTTATCATCCCCTTGGCCATGTCTTCAATGATTTTATGGACCTCTCAATTTTCATCTTTTCAGGGAAAAGTCTTAATCTTCTTAGTTGATTTTCACAACTATCTCCACTAATCCCTTTAACTTCCTCTCTGTGGACTTTGTCTAGTTTCATTATATTTCTTCAGGGACAATAGCCAAAAGCCCACACACTGTCCCAGACACACCATAGTTTAATATATTTATATGTCCATAGTATATATGTAGATATAATCAGAGATAGCCCTGATTTTCTGTACTAGTGTACTATCCTCGATACCCATCATGGAGCTGGTACATGTGCTCTGGTCCTTGGCTGAGTGAGATACCTATACTTTGATGAGATTACACAGAAATTCCTAATTGTTCCTTAGTGATTGATGGGTTTTGTTGAAGATAACTGGCAATCCAGTATCAGAGGGAGGGACTCTTCTGGAATAACATTGTCCCCCCCCAAAAAAGCCATCCCAACCCACCTTACCCCACCCTATCTATGAGAAGACTTGTAGAAATGGTTCCTCTCTTCTCTTTCAGGTCTCTATTCCAGCACTTTCTCTCCCTTGGGCTTCTGGCAAGGGAGAAAGGGGATTTCTTTCCCCTCTCTCCCACAGTTGCCTGCAGCAGGGGCATATATACCTGCCTTGGGAGGCCTCAAGTCTCTGGTTGCCTTCTTCTGCCTTTCTCTTTTCCTCTCTGAGCACAGCTCAGAAACTAGCAATCTGGAGAAATAGATGTTTCCATCTTTGGTGGCTATCTGATGAGTTTGAGAGTTCCTGAATTCCTGTGTTGGGTGCTAGCTGCCCAGCAGATGGCAATTTCCCTAAGAGCATGCTACTCAGAAAAGAACATCACTGCTCACAGGAGTGCATTAACAAATACATTAATATAAAATAGAGAACTTTTCTTTATTTCTCTATTCTCCAAAAAAAACTCATCATATTCCCCTCCTCCCCCATAGTCCCTTTGTGGAACAACTTGATCCCTATTTTATATTCATTTCAGATATGCACAAGCCAAGTAACATACAGCCCAGATTTCTCAGAGTCAGGGTATGCCTTTCTTTAGTCCTTCTGCTATAAGTACTTCCTGAAAGTGGTGCTTCACAGGGAGGCAAGAGAATACCACCAGAGACCCTAGGTCCTGCTTCAGACCCAACAAAGTAGATCTCTGTGTCTCTCCTGCAAGCCCTTATTGCCAGTTGGGGTAGAGGGGAAGAGAGAAGAGATATCCCTTCTTCCCCTTTGCCAAAAGTCAAAGAAGAGAGAAAGTCTTAGAACAAAGTTCCAGAAGATAAGGGAAGGGCTGTTTGTTTGTTTGTTTGTTTTAACAAGTTTTCTTACAGACTATAGAGGGAGGAAATTCCTTCACAAATTCTTGCCTTCCCCTCTACCCCCCCCCACCTCAGGAGCCAATTATCTTCAATGAAACCCACCAATCCCTGGGAACTAATTAAGAATTAGTGTCTTCCCAGCAAAGGGCTACAGCATATACCCAGCTCCATAACAGTCCAGTAAATCAAGAGTTCCCTTGATCACCCTTGCTTGCATAGACATGTGAATACTCTCTCTACCAAGGTGGATCCCTACTCCTTCCTCCTTTAATAGGTGGTTTGATGAGATTCTTTATCCAAAAGAAAAAAAAATCATCACCTGGTAACCAGATTTCTGGCTCATGTCTCTTCAATCTTACCTCAGATTACATCCTCAGATGACAAGCATGCAGTCTAGTGCAGAACCCATATTCAAAGCTTTTCCAGCATAGTAGGGTCATCTTTGAGAATCTAAGGTTGCCTTGCATGACTCAGTGAGACACTGGAGTACTTCAGCGAAGGATGAATTTATATGAGGAGTAGATAATAATTTTGCTTACACTGTCCTTCCTGATAATGTCCAGAATATTGGGAATGGGGAGGGAGAGGGTTGCTGGGAAGGGAGATGGAGAGGAGGGGGTATAGGGTTACAACCTCCTGGGTTACAACAACATATATCAGTGTCTGATTCCAGGCTGCAACTAATAACTCCATCATCCTATAGTTATTTTCCCTCAATACATTACCTTGCATTTATTCATAGCGAAACATCACTGCCACTTTTCTGTTCATACACAGAGCTATACAAAAACTTCCTACAGCAATCACAATCAGTCATGTTGCTGCTCTCTTTTAGTATCCTTTCCCTTTGTACACACACCTTGTCTGTGGCTCCTACCAGTTGCACGGTTTAGTGAAATCCTCAGATCAGCCTACTGGGAATGGCCCATGGCTCTGGAGAAATGCTAAGTCTTCTTAGCATGTGGTCATATTTAACTGTCTGCAGCAGAGGTTCTTAATTTGGGGGTCCATAAATTTGTGGATTTTTTAAAAATATTTTTATAATTTTCAATAAAATTGGTTTCCTTTGTAACCTTATGTATTTTATTTTATATATCTAAAAACATTCATCTGAGAAGGGGTCTATAAGCTTTGTCAGATTGCCAAAAGGGGTCCATGACACAGAAAAGGTTAAGAACCCATGACCTACAGGAATTAAAAGTCATGTGTAAGGGAGCAGCTAAGTGGCACAGTGGATAGAACACCTGCCCAGAAGTCAGGAGGACCTGAGTTCAAATGTGACTTCAGATCAAACACTTGACACTTACTAGCTGTGTGACCCTGGGCAAGTCACTTAACCCCAATTGCCTAAAAAAAAAAAAGTCATGTGTATACTATATATAAAACCATTGACATGAAATTGTTTTTAAAGTTTTTTTTAAAACCTAGATGCATTCAACCCTATGGGTTCCGTTTTATCTATATGCATATTTACTCCCTCAAAAATAATTCAGGAATAATTTTCCCCTTTCAGAATCCATGTAGTTCTCCCCAAAAAGAGGTAGTTAATTATTCTGTGATCTGATCTTTTTTATAGATTCTACTAATTATATGTTGTTCTTATATTGACATACATTGCCAGTATAGATTCTCTATCAGTAAAATGGTATATTATTTTTAGGTCCCACAAGTTTATTTCTTTTGGGAGGTATAGTCTGCTTATCTTTGCCTTCCTCAATTCTGCTTTCTTCTCTGTAGACCCATACTCTCTGTGTGATTTACATAGGTAGTACCCAATCTAATGCCCTCACCACATGATGTAAGGTCCAGTTTTTCTGTTTTAATTCACTTAACAGGAAGCAAAGAGCTGTCTTATATTTTCTCACCTGCACGCTGAGCTCCTTGTACAAGGGACATCACAGTTGAGCCTTATATCTTTCCATCTAGAACTACAAAGAAGACCATTTGAGAATCCTTAATCATATTATATGTAACCACAAAAGCTTAAAGCAACAATATTCAGAACATCAGAATACGGGCCTTTCAAGGTAAAGACTGGAAACTGGTTAACATGAAACAGAGCAGCAGAGAATCTATTCTCTCTTTTTATCATTCACACCCCAGCAACTAGCATTTGTGGAAATGGGCAATTGGGAGAGTGTAGCTGCCTGGTCACATGGAGCTTGTTTTCCATTTAGTCTTCTGGAGGAGGATTCAGAGGAGGAGGGAGACTTATGCCGCATCTGTCAGATAACTGGGGGTTCCCCAACCAACCCGCTGATGGAGCCCTGTGGCTGCGTGGGAAGCCTGCAGTTTGTTCACCAGGAGTGCCTGAAAAAGTGGCTGAAAGTAAAGATTACATCAGGTAGGTGTGAGAGGGAGAGCAACAGCACCACAGGATGAATTCAGAAAGAGCTCATCATGCTGCCCAATAGGCAGTCTTGTAAGTAAGCTTACTCTTTACTTGCCATAATGGTAGAGTCTTGTTTTCCTTTGCTTAAAATACTTAGAATACACAGTCAGCAGAACATTCCAAATACATACATTTTTTACCAAGCTTATGAGGAAAGTGGGATTTCTTAAAAGTCTTAGAATCAAGTGATGCTGCTAGCATCTATCTTTACTGATTAGTGTCAGACAGACAGCAACCCCAAGATATCCAAAGATACAATGGACTGCTGCAGTAGGGACGGGATTCCCAGTCACTAGCTGCTCCATTACTCTATTACCTCCATTGAGGATGGTGAAGGACTACATGGAAGAGGGTAAGGAGCATCTAAGGCCACTCACTCTGAAAGTCCTTTCCATTTCTAAGATTCTATCCTGGGGGCAGCTAGGTGGCCCAGTGGAAAGAGCACCAGCCCTGAAATCAGGAGGACCTGAGTTCAAATCTGGCCTCAGATCAAACACTTGACACTTACTAGCTGTGTGACCCTGGGCAAGTCACTTAACCCCAATTGCCTAAAAATTAAAAACAAAACACACACACACACACACACACACACACACACACCACACACACACACACACAAAGATTTTGTCCTAACTTTGGGGCAGCTAGGTGGCGTAAGTGCCAGGGCTAGAGTCAGAAAGACTCCTTTTCCTGAGTTCACATCTCAGATACTTATTAGCTGTGTGACCCTGGGCAAGTAACTTAACCCTGTCTGCCTCAGTTTCCTTATCTGTCAAATGAGCTGGAGAAGGAAATGACAAACCTCTCCAGTATCTTTGCCAAGAAAACCCCAAATGGGGTCACAAGGAGTCAGGCATGACTGAAAAATGACTAAACACTAAAATTCTAATTTCTAAAATTTATTTTATTCTATCTACTGTTTTAACGAGTACAGCCCACAAACTTCATGTAGAATTATTATGTAAGTGATAAATCAATACAAGAAAGATAGCTCACAAATGGAATACTTGGTTATTAAAATAGCCCTTAAATGTATAATATTTTAGAGATGTATGCATTCATTTGTAGATATAGATGCATAATATATGCATATGAAAACGTACATAGGTCCCATTAGTAAAGTGTCACAGCAGGTTATGGATGATAATGGGGCCCAGCTGGCCAGGATGGATCCAGACAGAAGTCCGGATACAGTTAGGGTTGAACAGATGTAATGCATCCAGCCAGGTACGGGGAACAAGTGCCAAAGGTCAGCTGGGGCCAGGAAGAACAGGCCGGCACAGGAGTCCTAGGTGCCCGGGGCTACAAGTCTGTGAGGGAGGCAAGAGAAGTGGCAAAAAAAAAAAATCCGGAAAGCAAACAGGCCAGAACATTGATATTCCTGTAGGTCGCTTGGACCTGTGCCAGAATATGGGTTCATATTTCTGCCGGGCATGGGCAGAGGTCCTGAGCCCATGCAATAGGCTGACAAATTAATCCTTTTCCTGATTGAGGTGGGGCCTGTGAAGCTAGGGATTAGCTCACAGGAAGTAGTGATGAGATAATAGCAATCCCTCTTCTTTGATGCTTCCTAGAGAGCTGGAAATACAGAAGGGCTTAGGGACCCAGGGCAGATGACCTCTGAGTGAATAAGATTTGTTATATAATTATCTATAAATAACTGTGTGTACATCTAATTATCATACATGATTCTGAAAACCTGAATCTCAGTGCATTTTAAAAAGTAAAAATTTATTCAATTGAATTGAATATTTTCAGGAGTGAAAAAGATCCTCTTGGTAAAGTAAAAATGTCTACATTGCTAAACAATATTCTCTAAGTGATTGAACTCTGAATGAGAAAAATTCCACAATGAGAACAGCTCTGCTCCTTTGAATCAAGTCAAGCAAGGAGTTGGCTCAGAAAGGATCTGTGGAAGCAGTTGTAAGAAAAGTGTTTTGATACTTACTAGCTATGTGACCCTGGGCAAGTCACTTAACCCCAATTGCCTCACCAAAAAAAGCAAAAGCCAACCAAATAAACAAACAAACAAAACGAAGAAAAGTGTTAATTTGGTTTACTAGAATATAATACATATATATATATATATATATATATATATATGTGTGTGTGTGTGTGTGTGTGTGTGTGTGTCCATATGTGCTTATACTTATGTTATATATACATGTATGTATATAATATACATATTTATGTATTTATATATGTATATGTGTGATGTAGTGACTATGCCATCTATCTAAGGCCTGAAAGTAATATTTATATATGTATTTGTATATGTATGTCTCTCTGTCTGTATATATGTATATGTCTGTACCTGTATCACTTACTAACTCGGATCCTTGTGAGCCTTGAGTATATACTCTTTTGGCCGTGAAAGGTCACTCACACCTTCCTTAGTCCTGTACAGACTTTTAAAAAGGTTTATTTGGAATACATCCTTAAACTTGTGATAATCACTCTCATTACAAAGAGGTTAAGTAGACCCCAGTCCAAGGTTAGCAAACTTGCATGAAAATCAGCTTTAAAGTTTCGCTATAGTACCAAATAATAATGTACATGCCTTTCTAAATATCATCCACCCAAATCAAGTGCACACATAAACCTATACACAGTCATTGGGAACATATGACTCTTTTTCTAACTTCAGGTGCGGAACTAGGGGCCGTGAAGACCTGTGAAATGTGTAAGCAGGGCCTGATCATTGACCTGGATGATTTTAATGTGAATGACTACTACAGAAAGCATCAGCAGTCTCGGGTAAGTGGTCACCTCATGACCTGTCCTCCTGTTGTGGTCCTGTGGGCTTGTGACATCACACCATGTAAATGACCTCTCACCACACACTGAAACCAACTGAATTTCAAGACAGATACGTGCTGACTTGCCCAAATTTCAAGAAACTCAAAAGGCCTATCCATGATAGGAGTCTGAGAATTTTAGTTCATCTTACATCTTTGCAACTTGAAGCAAAGGCCTATAATTTAGCCTGGAGATAGGGAGCTGGCATTTCTCTCATCTTTCCATGTTAAAATGTGGTAAAGGAGAAGAAACATGTCTTGTTTGACACACACAGATTCCAAGAGGATTAGCTGAATTATAGAATACATGTCAAACTGCTTACAGAAAATGTTAAAAAAAAGAAGGTAGTCAGTTGGCCAGTCAGTGAGCATTTAGTATTTTATTTTCCTCCAGTTACATGTAAAAACAATTTTTAACATTCATTTTTTAAACTTCCAAATTTTTAAAAGTTTAAAATTCTCTTCCTTCCTCCCTCTCCATCCCCACCCCCCATCGAGAAGGCAAGCAATTCAATATAAGTTATACACGTGTAGTCAAGCAAAACACTTCCATGATCATCATATTGTAAAAGGACATAGACCAAAAAAAAAAACTCAAGAAAAATAAAGTTAAAAAAAAGTATGCCTCAGTCTGCATTCAAACACCATCAGTTCTTTGTCTGGTGATGGATAGCATTTTTCATCATAAGTCCTTCAGAGCTGTCTTGGATCATTGTATTGTTGAGAATAGCTAAATCATCCATGCCTGATTATCCTATAATATTGTTGTTACTTTGTGCACAGTATGTTTCACTTTTCATCAGTTCATGTAAGTTTTCTCTGAGATTGTCTTGTTTATCATTTCCTATAATACGACAGTATTCCATCATAATCACATACCACAATTTGTTCAGCCATTCCCCAATTGATGGATATCCCCTCAATTTCTAATTTTTTGCCCCCAGAAAAGAGCTGCTATAAATATTTTTGTACATATAAGTCCTTTTCCTTTTTTTATATCTTTTGGGATACAGACCTAGTAGTGGTATTGCTAGATCAATGGCTATATGCATGGTTTTTATAGCCTTTTGGGCATAGTTCCAAATTGTTCTACAGAATGGTTGAATCAGTTCACAAGTCCACTAACAATGCAGTAATGCCTCATTTCTCCCACATCCCCTTCAACATTTGTCATTTACCTTTGCTGTCCTATTAGCCTATCTAATAGGTATGAGGTAGTACCCCATAACTGTCTTAATTTGCATTTCTCTAATAGTGAGAGAGGGTATTTTTTCATATGGCTTTGATTCCTTCATTTGAAAACTGATCATATCTTTTGATCATTTATCAACTGGGGAATGGCTCTCATTTTTATAAATTTGACTCAGTTCCCTATATATTTGAGAAATGAGGACTTTATCAGAGAAGGCTTGCTTTATCAGAGAAACTTACTTCAAAATGTTTTTCACAGTTCCTATTTCTAACTGTATTTCCCTCCATCCTATTGCTCCTTGTTTATTCTATTTTCTCTCACCTTTCACCCTGTCCCTCCTCCAAAGTATTTTGCTTCTATCACCCCTCCTTCTCTTATCCCCTTCCCCCCTACTTTCCTGTTGGTTAAGATAACTTTCTATAACCAATTGAATGTATATGTTATTCCCTCATTGAGCCAATTCTGGTGACAGTAAGGTTCACTCACTCCCCTTCACCTCCTCTCTCTTCTTCTCCACTGTAAAAGTTTTTTCTTGACTCTTTTATGTGAGATAATTTACCGCATTCTACCTCTCCCTTTCTCTTTCTCCCAGTATATGTCTCTCTCACCTCTTAATTTTATTTTTTAGATATCATCCCTTCATATTCAACTCGCACCTACTCCTTCTAACCGCCCTAATATAGAGAAAGGTCTTGTGAGTTATAAATATCATCTTTCCATTAGGAATGTAAATAGTTTAACTTTAATAAGTTCCTAATGATTTCTCTTTCCTGTTTACTTTTTTATGCTTCTCTTGAGTCTTGTATTTGAAAGTCAGATTTTTATTCACCTCTGGTCTTTTCATCAGGAATGCTTGAAAGTTTTTTATTTCATTGAATATCCATTTTTTCCCCTGAAGGTTATCCTCAGTTTTGCTTAATAGGTAGTTCTTGGTTGTAATCCTTGCTCCTTTGCCCTCCAGAATATCATATTCCAAGCCTCCAATCCTTTAATGTAGAAGCTGCTAAATCTCATGTTATCCTGACTATGGCTCCACAGTATTTGAATTGTTTGTTTCTGGCTGCTTATAATATTTTTTCCTTGACCTGGGAACTCTAGAATCTGGCTATAATATTCCTGGCAGTTTTCATTTTGGGATCTCTTTCAGGAGGTGATCTGTGGATTCTTTCCATTTGTTTTGTATCTTGCCCTCTGGTTCTAGACTATCAGGGCAGCTTTTCTTGATAATTTCTTGAAAGATGATGTCTAGGCTCTTTTTTCGATCATGGCTTTCAGATATTCCAATAATTTTTAAATTCTCTCTCCTGGATCTATTTTCCAGGTCAGTTGTTTTTTCCAATGAGATATTTCACATTCTCTTCTATTTTTAATTCTTTTGGTTTTGTTTTATTGTGTTTTTTCTTTCTTATGAAGTCATTAGCTTCCATTTTCTCTGTTCTAATTTTTAAGGAATTATTTTCTTTGGTGAGCTTTTGGACCTCATTTGGCCAATTTTACTTTTTTTTGAGGCATTCTTCTCCTCATTGGCTTTTTGAACCTCTTTTACCATTCAGCCTAGTCTGTTTTTTAAGCTGTTATTTTCCTCAGTGTCTCTATGTGTCTCCTTTACCAAGCTATTGACTTGTTTTTCATGATTTTCTTGCATCACTCTCATTTCTCTTCCCAATTTTTCCTCTACTTCTCTTACTTGATTTTCAAAATCCTTTTTGAGCTTTTCCATGGCCTGAGACAAATTCATATTTTTGTGTAGGCTTTGGATGTAGAAGCTTTGACTTTGTAGCCTTCCAAGTGTGTGTTTTGATCTTTCTTGTCACTATACTAACTAACTTTCTACAGTCAGAGGTTTGGTTTTTTTTTTCTGTTTGCTCATTTTCCCAGTGGCTGGGATCCAGCCTATTACTTGACTTTTTAAATCTTTGTTAAAGTAGGGCTCTGCTTCTAGAGTGGAGGGGGCACTGTCCCAAGGTTCAGGGTTTTTGTGCAGCTGTTTTCAGAGATACTTCTAGGGACCTGTAAGTTTTCAGTTCTTCTAAGGTGGTATGATCTAAGGAGAGGTGTTTACTCCTCTCCTGGACTGTGGTCTGGTCTGTGAGTGACCACAAGCACTCTTTTCTGCCCTGGAACTGTGAGGAGGGTCCCCCCTCTTCTGTGGTCACAAGTTCTGCTGTACTAGTGCTCCTCTCTGCCCTGGGACTTCCATTCAAGACTGTGAACTAGATCTGAGAATGGGCAATGCAACAGAGTCCTGCCCCAGTGCCAGCAAAAAGACCCCTGTAATCTCCTTCTGATCAGTTGTTTGACCCCTCTTACCATTTGTGGGCCAAGAGCTCTGGAAGCAGATGCTGACACTGCTGATTCAGTCACTCTCAAGGCCTGCACCTGGTTTGTTGTGGCGGGGTCTATGCTGGCGTGGCCTGTACTGGACTGTGCTCCATTCTCACCAGGTATGACAGACCTTTCTTACTGACTTTCTAAGTTATCTTTGGGTTGAGAGGTCTGGAAACCACCATTGCTGCCACTGATTCAGTTGCCCTGAGGTCTGCTCCTAGTTTCCTGGAGCCCAGGCTGTGCTGGTGTGGCCTGCGCTAGACTGTACTTCTCTCTCACCCTGGTGCAACAGACCTTTCCTGCCAACCTTTCAAGTTGTCTTGGGCTGGAAATTTGTTTCACTCTGTCTTTTGTGAGTTATACTGTTCTAGAATTTGTTTAGGGTCATTTTTTTTAATATAAATTTATTTATTTTTTAGTTTTCAACATTTACTTCCACAAGATTTTGAGTTCCAAATTTTCACCCCATCTTGCTCCCTCCCCGCACCCCAAGATGGCATGCATTCTGAATACCCCTTCCCCTAGTCTGCCCTCTTTTCTATCTATCCCCCTGCCCTTCTCTTATCTCCTTCCCCTTCTATTTTCCTGTAGGGCAGGATAGACTTCTGTACCCCATTTCCTGTATTTCTTATTTCCCAGTTGCGTGTGAAAACATTTTTTTAAACATGTGTTTTTAAAACTTTGGGTTCCAAATTTTCTCCCTTCCTCCCTCCCCACCCACATTCATTGAAGAGGCAAGCAATTCAATATAGGTTATACATGTGCAGTTATGCAAAACACTTCCATAGTAGACATGTTGTGAAAAACTAACTCTATTGCCCTTAATCCTATCCTGCTCCCCCATTTATTCTATTCTTTCTTTTAACCCTGTCCCTCCTCAGAAGTGTTTGCTTCTGATTACCCCTTTCCCAATCTGCCCTCTCTCTATCATCCCCTGCTCTCTTGTCCCCTTCCCCCCTATTTTCCTGTAGGGTAAGACAGATTTCCATACCCAATTGAATGTGTATGTTATTCCCTCCTAAGCCAAATCCTATGAGAATAAGATTCCATTCCCTCTCACCTTCCCCGTTTCCCCTCCACTGTAAGAGCTTTTCTTTTCTGTTTTTTTTTGTGAGATAATTTACCCCATTCTACCTCTCCCTTTCTTCTCCGAGTATAATCCTCTCTCATCCCTTAATTTTATTCTCCAGATATGACCCCTTAATCTTCAACTCACCCTGTGCCCTCTAATCTATCTATCTATATCATACATATAATTTTTTCCTCTCAACTACCCTAATACTGACAAAGGTCTCATGAGTTATAAATATCATCTTTCCATGCAGGAATGTAAACAGTTCAACTTAATAAGTCTTTATGATTTCTCTTTCCTGTTTACCTCTTCATGTTCCACTCGAGTCTTGTATTTGAAAGTCAAATTTTCTATTCAGCTCTGGTCT